ATGGCAGGAGCAGTACATTTTAGCACCAAATTGCATAGTTTGTAAAGTTGCTCGTTGTAGCAGAGGCCTTTCAGTGTAGACATCTACACAAAAGAAGCTGATGTTGACATTTGAGACTATAGTCCAGTAAAGATTTTAACAGCACATATACCCTACAACTGCTGTCTCCAACCCTCTTGTCAACAGTGTCCCCCCATAAAACCTCACTCCCATCCCCCACCCTCAATGCCTCATGCCCAGATGACGTAATATTGGGAAAATATGTTTGAAGTGTTTTTCTGCTGGCATGTCTGCATTTACATCTGTATGTATAATCTAGCAATTCCTTCATGTATTCAGGCAGACTTGTTAAACAAGCATCCTGGGCTACTATTTTTCACAACTGTCAAGTCTTTCATTGTTATGATTCCAACATGGGACATGAGGTTCACTGCCATTTGTTGCCCTATCTCTCATTCCCCCTGAGAAGGCCGTGGCTCATCACCATCTGCAGCATTGTCGGGAAGTGATGTCCAAGATCTTGACCCAATGACAGTGAAGGAAGCGCAATACAGTTTGAAGTCATGATGGTGAGTGGCTTGAAGGGGAACTTGCAAGTAATGGCATTCCCGTCTATTTGTTGCTGTTGTGCTTATAATAATGGTGGGCCATGGGTTTGGAAGGTTATGGCAATGGATCAGTACTCCAAAGTACTCCAAATGCCATAATGGCATTTTTTGCTTTCATTTTCAAAATGTGTCCCTTTTTTTAAGGAAAAGAGGACTGCTACAGGGGAAAGAAAAATCTGTAGACATTAACTCAGTGACTGTCTGGCAAAGTCCTATGTGAAATACAATGAATGTTACTCCTGTAAAGTATCAGGGTAACATCAAACAGGGAGAGATTTAATAAAAGATAACTAGAGGACTGAATATCCAAACCCCCTGGCCCCAGCGGAAAGCCATCTCATGCAGACATGCCTGCTTCACCATCCAGGAAATGTATGGAACAAGGAGTTAAAAACTGACTGCAACAATAGCCTGTGAGTTTTATTGGTCAGGCATCCTGGTATGTGAACTGGGTGTCGTGAGGGCCACAGCTTTGAAAACAGCCTTTTTAAATACCCTTATTTCCGCCAACTAGTAAAACTAAAAATCTGAACTCTTCTGCTCAACAGCCAATGTCAGTTATTGGTGCTAGCCAATAAAAGGCTGCAACATCGTCTGGCCTGCTCTTCATTAACAATTTGGAGGCTGATCTGGATTTTTTAAAAAAACTTTTATTTGTAATTAATAATCTCACTCATTTTGTTAATTCAAGAAAGCCTGCTTAATTTGGCTCATTTTAAACATAAATTTAATTGGATCTGGCAGAAAGGCATCCACAAGGGAAGGGATCCTTTTTAAATGAACCTTGTTGCGATCAAGTAAGAATACAGGTGAATTACCAAGGACAGTCATTTTATCTTTCTTCAGCTGGGAGTTTAACAATTTGGCGTATCCCTTCTGGAACCATAACAAACTGGGAAACCTCAGCTAGAGTCTTGTGTAACAAAGGTAGTATCAAATGTAGCTTAGTAACTTATTGCAATGCACCTTGTAGATGTTACACACTGCTGCCATATAAATACGAAATGTTTAAGGTGGTGCATTGAATGCTGATCAAGCGGGCTGCTTGGTCCTGGATAGTGTCAAATTTCTTGAATATTGTTGGAGCCGCATCCATCCAGGCGATTGGAGAGTATGTCATCACTATCTTGACTTGAGTCTTGTAGATGGTGAACAATCTTTGAGAAATTTGGCAGTGAGTTGCTTGCTGCAGAACTACCATCCTCTGATCTGCTCTTGTAACCACAGTATTTATATGGCTGACCGACTGAGATTTTCATAAAACATTTTACCTATTCTTAATGCACAACTGTTACCACTGTCCTTTACTGTTATATTGCACCTTTTAACTTGAAAAGAAAAGGCTGTGAATAGCTTCACCAAAAGTCTTGAGAAAAGTAGTTGGCCAGGCAGGAAGAGAGGGGTTAAAACTGTACCTGAGTTGAGGAAATGGTTTTTTAAGGAATGTGACAGAGGCAGAAAGTCAAGAAGGATTACAAAAGGAGTCCTTGAGAACAGGACCTGAGCAGTGGTGCCAGTGGTAGGATAAAGTGAGAGAAATGCACAAAGGACAGAATGAGGCAAAACTCGTATTTGAGATGGGGATGATAGAGCTGGAGGAGATTGCACAGAAAAAGTGAGGCATGTCTGCACAGCAACTTACAGACAAGGGTGAGAATATTTAATTTAATGTGTTAGTGAGCAAAGGTAGGTCAGATTGGACTGGGGTACCATGCAAGGATTAATAAACGGTGCAGGATCAAATATCATTATGGAGAGTGTTGGAGGTGACAAAAACATGTACAAGGATTTCAATGACAGCACAGTTGAAGTAAAGGCGGTAACAGGAGATATTGCAGAGATCAAAGGATCCAGTCATTGCACTTGAGATGTTACACGGCTTTCAGTTTAGTTCAGAGCAGAGAAGACTTCAAGTTTCAGTCCAGCATGAATGGTCCAGAGGTGGGGGGAGTTGAATCAGAACAAAGGAAGTAGAATTTGCAGCTAGAAAAGATGATGGCTTCAGTCTCCCTAACCTTGAGCTGCAGAAGGCTGTAAATTATCAAACACTGGATGCTGAGCAAGAAATCTAACAATCCAGGTGTTGAGGGAAGGAATGCAAAGGTACAGTTGGGTCTCATAAGCAGCTGTATGAAATTTAATGCCATGCTTACAGTTTCTGTGATGTGAAAAAATTGCTACATTTGGATTTCCTCCTTGTACAATTTGAAACCTCAAGCAGTTTGTACATTTAAAGAGGCTCTTATCTACGCAGCTCCTTAAAGCAATGATACCTCACTGCTTCAAGCAGTCACTAGGCAATCAAAAATAGTTTATCATCTAAAATTTATTGAACTTAGGTTGCTGCATCGCGTGGCTAAAGAAGAGCATTTAACGTTGAATCAAAAAGGCAAAAAAGAGGAAAAAGAAACCTGAAATAAAAGTGGAAAATGCTGGGTCTATGGCAGAATTTGCAATGCAGGATAATCTCCCATCAGTTGGACATGTCCTTGTATCCTTCAATTCAAGTGATATTTAATTGCAGAGTTGATGAAAGCGTGAGCCAATAGTATTGCAGGAAGGGAACCAGGGCATCTGGGACCTAGGTGAATAGGGTAACCAACAGTATATCTCTTTAACTAACGGGATTTGGGGATTAGGAAACAAATCATGGAAGGAGTGAGAAGGATGTGATTTTAATGTTAAATCGGGTATTGAGAAATGAATAAAGAAGTGGAAATGTAGAAACATACACAGAGAATGCTGGAAAAACTCAGCAGTCCTTGTAACATCTGTGGAGAGAGAAACTAGAGAGATTCTCAACTAGAGTCAGTTAGCATTTCGAGTTTGGTGTGACTCTTCTTCAGAACCTGCAATTGTTTTTCTTCAGGGAAATGCAGATTGGATTAAAAGGGCAAAGAAAGAGACAAGAAAGAAAATTAAGGAAAAAAAAGCACAGTTGAAGTAAAGGCGGTAACAGGAGATATTGCAGAGATCTAAGGATGCAGTCATTGCTTTAAGTTTGATATGTTTTTTTTAAAATCTCCATAAAATAATCAAAAATCTGATGAAATGAGATTTGCAGTGATTGTTTTTACAGAGTCAGAGTTGTTGATTGGCCGTAATTAATAAATATCATGCTGTTGTAAAAGAGTACTTACTCTACAGTACTTAACTATCTGTAGCAGGTTTAGTCTGTAACTAGCATTCAAATACCTAGACATTCACAACATTCACTGCATTTTGAAGGTGATATTGATAAAGAATTGCCATTTTCACAAAGCTAACAGCAAAGTGGTGCAACTTGGCTGCTGATAATCTGAGGTCACTGTACCTGTTATGGACAAAAGTTAAGGTCAATCAGGTTTTCCGTTATTTCAACATCAAGTTCTCACTCAGTAGGCTAATCAATACCTCAAAAAGAAAGGTTTCAATTGGTGCCCTCAATCAAAAATCAACTATTCACTTATTATTATTTAGTTGTAAATTGCATTTCTAAGCGCAGTCATTGTATTCATACAGATGTGTGAGAGCTGAGGGCAAGCTGGTGAACAACAGATGCACACAGGAAGAGAGGATTTGGGAAAAGTTTTTTGTTTTAAGAGACTGATTAAAGCAACAAAGAAGGTGACAAAGTACAAGGTAGAGAGGCTTCTGAGGTGGGTGTTGATACTGTGCTTGAAGGAGCACTGCCATTGAGCCCAGAGCAAACAGAATTAACAGTTTGTGGAAGGCACAGAGCATTCTTTAAAGTAAAGAGAGAATCAGCACAGGCAATGATGGATCGAGTGGTCTCCTTTTGTGTTGCAGGATTCTACAATTCTGTATTGCTGGAGGAGATTGCAGAAGAAAGCAGCAGCGAGTCCATGGAATGACTTGAAAGTGAGCATGAGGATCGAGGCCACATAAGCCAGCGGAACTTGACATGGCTGGAATGATGTGGGAATGGGCTACAGCAAATATCATTTTAAGCTGAACATCCTCACCATCCAGACCCTTTAAACATCTGTTTCACAATTGTTCTCAGTCCTTAAAACCTTACTTCTTTCGCGTCTGGGATCTTGATTTGAAACTGTAAAACTTTGGAGTTTAACACATTTAATCTAATAACATGAAAGGAGTTTGAATTGTTTAGGGTCAAATTGGAATATAAATATACAGAAGCAGATTTATAAAAATAAGGGGCTTGGGTTGCAATGTCTAAGAAAATTTTACTTCAACATCTGTCTTCTGTTACGCTGACAGAAGGAAATGTCTTGAGGAGGTATCTATGAAAAGCTTCAGTTTACTTTCACTGCTTTCGCTGTCGCACAGCAGCAGCCTTCCCATTCAGCCACAACGATGACTATAAAGTTAACAAATACACAGAGTCAATCAACAGCTTCTGGTGAGAATGACAAACATTCAACTCACCTGCACAGTTAGTTCTGTTAAACTCAGACCTCTGTCGTATGTCTGATTTCTTTTGGCACCTCACCGTTTGCCTGTATGTTCCACCAGTGCCTGAGCTCATCTGTGCCATAACTGGCTCCAACAGCATCTGGGAAATCAGCAGTGCCATAAAATAGATTTGTTTGGCCTGCTTACTACTGGGATAGTGTGGGGAAGGCACGTGATGCAGGAAATGATTCAATGCAATTCTAACCTCAAAGAAATGACTGCAGAATTCAAATATTCCTTAGCTGTGATATTAAAGCAGACACACTTTTTAAAGCAGAATACTTTACAAACAGGATTCCAGACTGTGGTTCATTACTGCTGTCTTGATTCCTATTGACTGTGGGATGTGAAATAACAGAGTACAAGCTGAATGGGATAAAAAATACAAATGCCAAAAACTACATAGTATGTCACTGAACTGAACATGCAGTTTACCTTTGTTTAACAGCAGGCTCAATTTTAAGATTACTATCTTGATCTTTCTCAGCGAGAATAATGTCGATTGGCACTTTGGTCTATTTTTAATGTACTGAATAGCATTGTTTCCCCAAGTTACATTGTCTGAAAGGAGCAGTTGGTGAAATACAAATGTGTTTGAAAGTCATATGCACTGAAGCTGATCTTCCATGTTGGTGATTAGGCATGACAAGGTGAGAAGATTGCCTGCCCATTGTAGAACCTGTTCAATTTTTGACCTGTGAAGTCACGAGATGAGAATTAGACATGGAAGAGGTTGGTGATTTGTACACCAAGCATCACCAAATTTGCATCCTGGGAGGAGCATTTATATTACCCCCATCCATTCCATTAAGTTACATCCATTAACCCCTGCTCTGAGTTTGTATGTTGACACATCTATATGTCAAAGTGTTATTCTTAATTTAGTTTTACAGAAATATTTGATACAACTCTGTGATTTGGTAGGCTATTTCAAAGACCAGTTGGGTAAATTCGATTGAAGTTAAACACTCTAGGAGACATACTAATTTCTGGTGATAGTGTAATTCAAACAATATCATATCAGACACAGATTATATCCCTCATCCAAAACGCATTGTGAACTAATCCAATATTGCTCAGATTGCATAAACACAAAGGTTAAAATGATCTGCACTGTCAGAGCCCAATATAAAAATTACAAAGTGGTCTCTAAAAAGTGCAAGGAATGCACAGCAGGCCCATAACATTCAATTGGACAGTGTGTACCTTTATCATGCCCAGTGCCAACAACAATGCTACTCCTGCTTCAAATCATATTCATACAATTGTGCGTCTTACAGGTGTTATTCTTATTGTAGTTTTGCATATAAATTTGATATAATTATGTGATTTAGTAGTTATTCCAAAGGGCAGATAAGAGTCAATCATATTGCTGTGGTCTGGAGGCGCATATCGGAGGCACATATATAGTTCCCTAAAGGACATTTGGGATCCAGACAGGTTTTTTTGCAATTACCTGGTAGTTTCATGCTCATCATTATAGGTACTGGCTTTTTCTTTTGATAGCTTTATTTAGCTGAATTTAAATTTCCCAGATGGGTGTGGTGAGAGTTGAAACAATGAGCAGGATTTTTCATACCAGATTGTGGGGACAAGGTCTGCAGCTGATCACCTTACCACCCAAGTCTCTCACTAGATTTGGATTTGGAACTAGATCTCCGTTCCTTCAGTAACATTAAGTTAAAATCCTGTAAAAGATCACCTTAACAGCACTATACCTACATCCATGGGTAACAGCAATGAAGAAGATGGCAACTTACCACCATCTTCTTAAGGGCAATTAGGTAGAGGGTATAAATATTGGTCTTGTCAATGATACCTATATCCCTGAATGAATAAAAATAAAGACCCAACACCACTAGTCTTCTTTTCAAATAAGTATACACTAATTTTTTTGACTTTTTTTTTTAATTTATATCCCCTAAACTATCCCAATAACATTTCAGGATATCTGGAATTCTCTCCTAATGTTCCTTGACCCTGGTCCAGATTCCAGGAATTTCTTGTTGACACTGTCTAGCCATTCTGCTCAATGTCAAAGGAGAAATAGAGCAAAAGAAGTCAAGCCTATCTTGGCTCAGAACTCCAAATAAAGAAAAACTAAGATTCCTCTGTCAATAACTCTTGAATTAATCTAAATCCTACACTCCCACTAACCTATGGGATACTACAAAAATGTTGATTAATTTTAGCTGAAAATGTTCTTCCTCCTGTCCACTCTAAATATGTTTTTCACTTGTTTTAAACCTCTTTCTGGCCTACTATTTTGACATACTCTGCTCCAGTCCTACAGATTTACCCTTTTAGCTCCTTTTCTACTTAAAAAATGGCCACTTTCAATCACTTTTAAGGACATTAAGAATTACTGATTTTCTCTGCACTATTTCCACAACTTGAATGATTTATATTTTGGTAACCAAAACCCAAACAGAGCACCCAAGGTACTGTACAATTTCAGAATGACACCTCCTGAATGATACCGAAATGGTCCGGCAGTGTTACTAATTATCCAAATGTTTTGTTTGTTCCTGCTCTTGGTGATAAGGTACCTGAACGATTGGAAGTCTGGGAAGTTATATCAGGAGAGCTGTAGAGCAGTCAGTTGAAGCAATATCACTTGTTTAATGCTACTGACAAAGATTAAAATGGCCTGCTACTTGTCAGTAGATCACAGAAAGGTTACAACACAGAAGGAAGCCATCCAGCCAATGTATTCATTCTCCTTTGCAAGAGCAACTCAGCTAGACCCAGTCAGCCACCTTTTCCCTAAATGTCTGCAAATATTTTCTCATCAGATAATTATTCAACTCTTTTTATCCTAACCACTCACTGTGCAACAACATTTTTCCTAGTGTTGCCTCTAATTTTTTTGCCAAAACATCTTTGTAGCCTATACAGTGTGGAGCTGGAGGAACACAGCAGGTCAGGCAGTATCAGAGGAGCAGGAAAGTCGGCATTTTGGGTTTACTGGGAAAGGAAAAGGGAGCTTGGAAATAAATACAGGGAGGAGGGGTGGAGCTGGAGGTAGGTATATGTTGATAGCTGGATGGGTAGTGGAAGTTAGTCAGTGCAAAGGGTGGGGCAGGTAGGCGGGAAAGAAGATGGATAGGTAGCGTCAGATCAAAGAGGCAGGGATAAGAGGGCGAGTTGGACATGGGATGAAGCCGGGGGTAGGGAGATTTTGAAACTGGTGAATTCTATGTTGAGGCCATCAGGCTGTAGGCTCCCAAGGCGGAATGTGAGGTGTTGCTCCTCCAGTTTCCAGGTGGCGTCCTTGGGAAACTGGAGGAGGCCCAGGATGGACATGTTACCCAGGGAGTGGGAGGGGGAGTTAAAATGGTTGGTAACCAGAAAGTGTTGTGGATTATAGCGTACAGAGTGCAGATGCTCTGCAAATCAGTCACCGAGTCTGTGCTTGGTCTCACCGACGTAGAGGAGGCCACATTGGGAGCAACAGATGCAGCAGACCAGGTTGGAAGATGTACAGGTGAATCCCTGTCGGATATGGAAGGTTTGTTTTGGGCCTTGGATGGAGGTGAGAGGGGGATGTAGGGGCAGGTATAGCATTTCCTGTGGTTGCAAGGAAAGGTGCCGGGCGTGGTGGGGTTAGTGGGGAGTGTGGAGTAGACGAGGGAGTCGCAGTGTGAGCGGTCCCTATTGAAAGGCAGATAGGGATGAGGAGGGAAATATCTCTTTGATGGTCAGGTCAAATTGTAGGTGGCGAAAGTGGCGGAGGATGATGCGCTGGATGCGGAGATTGGTGGGATGATATGTGAGGACAAGGGGGATTCTATCTTTTTTCTGTTGAGGGGAGGGGGTTTGAGAACAGAAGTGTGGGAAATGCAAGAGATGCGGCTGACGGCACTGTGGATCAACAGAGGGGGGACGTTGTGGTCGTTGAAGTAGGAGTGGAACGCTCCATCTTGGGAGCAGATGCAGCAGACACTAAGGAATTGGCAGAAAGGGATCGCATTCTTACAGGAGGGTGAATGAGAGGAGGTGTAGTCAAGATAGCTATGGGAGTTGGTGGGTTTGAAATAGATGTCAATGCTGAGATGGTTACAGGAGATGGAGACGGAGAGGTCCAGGAAGGGGAGGGAAGTATTAGAAATGGTCCAGGTGAATTTGAGGTTGGGCTGAAAAGTGTTGGTAAAGTTGATGAACTGTTCAAGCTCCTCATGGGAGCACGAGGCAGCCCCAGTACAGTCATCAATGTAGCGGAGGAAGAGGTGGGAGATAATGCCAGTGTAACAACAGAAGAGGGACTGTTCCACGTATCCTATGAAGAGGTAGGCATAGCTTGGACCCGTACTGGTGCCCATAGCCATCCTTTAGTTTGTAGGAGGTGGGAGTAGTTATTTCCCAGCTCCCTTCCCCCTCCCCAGTCCTGATGGAGGGTGAAAACCCGGAACATTGACTCTCCTGCTCCTCTGATGCTTCCACACTGTATTGACTCTGACTCCAGCATCTGCATTTCTTGCTATCTCTGATCATACACCACCCTACTCCCTGGCTAGCATCTCTGTCTGTGGCTAGCTGCAGTGTTCCAGCGAAGCTCAGCGCAAGCTGCAAGAACAACATCTCCTTTTCTGCTTGGGAACCCTGCAGCCCTCTGGACTTTCAATATCAAGGTCAATAATTTTAGGGCCTAACTCTCCCATGTCCCAGTCCCCTACCCCACACACCAGGCCTTGTTATCACATAGCCTGTCATTACTCACTACCTATTGTTAGTCATGAACAATCCCCATTAACAGCTATTCACCCTTCTCGCCAGATTGTTCTCAACTCCTTTGTCTATGCAACTACTCTTCTCTCTCTTTGGGCTCTAACTTAGTGTTTACTCCCTACCCTATCCTCCATCCCTATTTTCTGCATATAAACTGCTGTTTTCCCAGCTACCATCAGTTCTGAGTGTGGGTCACCGGACCCAAAACGTTAACTCTGATTTTTTCTTCACAGATGCTGCCAGACCTGCTGAGCTTTTCTAGCAACTTCTGTTTTTGTTCCTGATTTACAGCATCCGCAGTTATTTCAGTTTTTATTTAAGGGTGTCACATGAACAGTTTTCCAATCTGCTGGGATCTTCCTGGAATGCAGTGAGTTCTGGAATGTTCCAACCAATATCCCCGCTATCTCTGCAGTCA